AGTGTATTTTGGGAAGTACTACTGGGGATTTGTTTGACCGTAAGTCCTACGTAGGCGAGCGGTTAGGCATATCAGATCCAATGATGGATGTAGGTTCTCATCCTGCCTGAGGACGCATAAGATTTCTCGAATATTCAGGCCAGTAAATGTAGTTGGATAAAAGATAAAGCTTAATTAAAAAAAAAAAAATAGAGATTCTATTCGAATATGCGTATCCATAAAAAATAACGTTTAAATAAATAAATATATATATATATATATATACTAGCAGCATGGCGCGGCGTTGCCCGTGCTTGATTTAAAAATCGTACGACTCATACAGCAAACGCTATCACTTGACTTAAAATATCTTTGCCCATCTATGCCTTTAAAGGAATGCCTTTTGCCGTGCTGATGTTGCTACATGCCTTACTTCTTGCCTATCTCACACTGCAATTTTTTTCTAAGCTCTATACTAAACATTAAATCTTTTACGAAAAAAGAACTAAACAAAATGAACACAAAACGATCAGCTTTAAAAAAGGACTCGGAACTGGAAAAACCGAATGAAAAAGAATGGTAACAACAAATATTTTTCACACCCAACCCAGTTCTGCGGAATCAAAATCAACGTTGATTTTAAGCAAGCGAATGAGCCAATTGGAGTAAAGTGCCATGCAGAATTAAATTTTTCCCACTTGTCACGAACGCAGCTATCGATTTTTTTGCATGCTAGCATGCTAGTTAATATTCGTGTCAGTCAGCTGTTGGCTCTAACGCTGGCCAATAGAATCTTCCTGCCTAATCGTGACAGCCAGCTATAGGCTCTCACTCTGGCCAGTAGAAAATGGCCGCAAGCTACATGAAAACTGCCGTAGAAGCATGAAAAAATCGAATATTTCCACTATCGATGGGAGTTGGGAAATGCAAAGTCGGTCTTGGCCTTCCCATTAACTTGGAACATGTGCATGTAAATTTTGGTGCAAATCCGTCGAAAATTGCGGCCGTGCATTCGTTACACACGCACACACAAGTTATCTTCTGTTTATACGTTATTTTTAAAATAATTGTCGGACTTTGTCCATTTCATAGTGTATATATATATATATATATATATATATATATATATATATAGTTTTAAGGTGTGCTATATTTATGGGATAAAGTGCTCAATATCAGAGATAGAGCGTATGTAAATATAAATATAAAAGTGAACATTGAAGTCAACACTCAGAGGCGACAGACTGTTTCACGCTAGACGCAATCGTCAGGCTGCGAATGTTGGATGTTTCCTCGACTATATATATATGGGTCAGTGATGCATTGTGGGTAATCTATTCTGGCGGTTATTTTTGCGGGTGTAGCTTGTCTTATTTACTTATTTATTTGGTCATTTGGGTTAATTTATTTTACTTGTTTTTCATATTTATTTTGTATTATTTATTCTTTTCGGTTTTGATATATATATATATATATACACACACAATGAATAAATGTTGCGTATATATATTTGTGCGTGTGTGTGTGTGTGTGTGTGTGTGCGTGTGTGTAAGGAAAACTTTCTTAACCGAACCTGATGGATTTTATCAATTCAAAGAAAAGTTTTCATTTTTTTCTTTATTCATATATATATATATATAATTTGGACAGCAATCCATTTATAATACGTGCTTAAGCATTTTTAGGCATTATATTTATATTGTATCCTTGGCTGCCGAGTCATGTCATTTCTAATATTGCATGACCTGAGAGTAAACAATGAAACTCTGATCACAATATTCAGGAAAAATCTATTTTTATGTCAAATAGCAACAGGAAAAGGAAGGCCAGAAATTAAATATCTTGTCCGCATACAAGAAATATAGAATAAAAAATCTTCACAGAAGTTTCTTTGCAGTCACTTTTAATGATACACACACACACATACACACACACACATACACATATATGTATTAGGATTATATTTTTTTTTGTTTTGTTTTGTTTTTTTTTGTAACACTATGTTCTTTTGTCACAAATAGATGAACATTTGTTCAAAAGTAATGAGAAAAGCATTAATTTGTTTTAGTTTTTAAAAAGAGTCATCCACAAACCGAAATTCGATTTTACCATATACACAATAAGGGTAAAAAAATCAAGATATTTCAGAAGCTTTATTTTTAAATTGCTAATGATGTAATTGGATAGAACTTATGTATTTTATAACGTATTTAACAGTTTATAAGCACCATAAAGTTCTAAAAGGCTCCAGAAATTCATAGCACCACTATACATAAATACGATTTTAGAAATGCCGTATTGTGGTGGGGATGGCTTAAAAAAAAATAAACAGAAATAAAACCTTATTCATTAATTTTTTTAAGAAAAGGTGATCGAATTATGATAAAGAAATCAATTATCTTACAGAAAGGAAAAAGTCATAACCTTAACATATATATATATATATATATATATATATATGTGTGTGTGTGTGTGTGTGTGTGTGTGTGTGTGTGTGTGTGTGTGTGTGTGTGTGTGTGTGTGTGTGAAAAGTGTATATAAATATAAATAAATATATATATGTATAATTATTTATATATTATATGCGCGGTACTTATTAGAAAGCCCTCAATATCAGAGATAGAGTTAACATATTTGGTTGGATAGATGTGAGTTTGTGACCCTGGGTTTCACGTTTGTCTGACGATCGCTAAAGCGTGAAATCCAGGGTCACAAACTCACATCTATCCAACCAAATATATATATATATATATATATATATATATATATATATATATATATATGCTGGAGGGAGAAATAGCTATGGGTAAATAGCAGGACAGACTGGGTTTTATAGCCTTGGGTGGCAACTGGTCTAGGAGAAGGACAAATCTGAATTCAAAACATGCGGAGTGTCGTTTGGGAACCTTGTGGCACGTAGTGCACCAAGTCTCTGTATTCGGCCCTTCATAAAGCGTGGGTGGTCCTGCACGAAACCTTCACCACTATAATCAATTCTCATGTGCTGTTGTCGGGCTGTCGGTTTCCTGGAAACTGATCTGCTTGACCCTCGTACGTCGGATTCGACGGAAAAGTCGAGCGAGCGAGCGAGCATATATATATATATATATATATATATATATATATATATGAATTATTCACACAAAACTAATGCAAAGGTTAATGAATAAAATGGCGAGATATCCATCATCGCAAACAATTCAAATAGTACACAAAAACCTCCAGATCCGTTATGAATGAATTGATCCTTTTTTTATATAAAAAACAAGAACAACATCTATTATATACCTGAAGATGTCTGTAGGAACAGACGAAAGCTTGTAGTAAAAATAACAACTAATACGGCAGAAATTTATATAAACAAGGATCAATTCATTCATAACGGATCTGGAGGTTTTTGTGTACTATTTGAATTGTTTGCGATGATGGATGTCTCGCCATTTAAATCATTAACCTTGCATTAGTTTTGTGTGAATAATTCATGTATTTGTAAATTGATTGCACGTTTATTGTAATATATATATATATATATATATATATATATATATATATATATATATATATATATAATGTTTATCCTTCTATTATATTTATTATAATTATTGAAATAATCTGTAGTGAACAAAATTTTATTAAAACTTTAAAAACGGACATTTTAAAAGTATATATAAATGCAAAAAGTATTTTAAAAAACGAGACAGAAGAATAAGGATAAGACAAAAATTTCTCACCATGAAAATGGTGAATCGGAAAATAAAACAATAATAAAGGTATAACAAAAAAGGCCAAACCAGTTATCGATCGTTGCTCTTCAGAGCAAATCGAGAACAATACGTAACCACGGACTCAAAATTGGAGAGAGAGAAAACAAAATGAAAATAGAATCAACAGCATCACTTATAAGTAGATTACATTTAGAGCCAGCAGCTATTCCTTCTGCGTAAAGATGAAAAGCTGTTTAGACTTAATATAAAGGTTTTCTAGAATTCTCAGATGGTCATCTAAATACGCTTTGTTGATTATGGTGAGAATGACGAGACAGAGATCGGATTATTTATTAAGTTTCCTTCGAAAGTATAACCAGCCACAAACATTTACAAGTTTTCAAATAATTGATTTTTTTTTACGGCTTATCCCACATGTAGGTTATTAAAAACCAAGAAAGTATTTTTAGATTGTAATAATTTATTTTGAGATAATAACGATTTACTTATTTTGAGATAATAATTAGTTACTAATTAACCCATAGCCGAGGGGAGTGCGGTGGATTCATACTTTACCTGAGGTTACGGGAATATAACGAAGCCAGCTGGAATTGGAACTCGGCTTTCTGACATCCAATTCTGAGCCGTTGTCCATTACAGCACTAGCCCATCCAAGTTTACAACACTAGTAGATAAAGTAGATATTTATTAAGCTTAATATTATCTGACACAAGGCAACAACCGAAAAGTGAACTCCTGACCATGGTCTATGAGACTAGCTTTTTAACCATCACACTATAGCGAGACTTTCAGTGTGTCCTGGGTACGACGATAAACCACATCCGGCAGCAGGTCCTCTGATAGGGAGGTCTTGAGGTGCGTGGAACCAGCTCGTAATTGCTGTTGTTCGCAGGTCTAACCTGACCTGGGGTGCTAGCATCTGTTAGGGTTTCAGCTACGGACAAATAGTTAACCTCCAAATTGGGGTTCAAACAATATGAAAGTATAAAAAGATTTTTATAGTAAATATACCAACAATACATTTCTTAGAATATTAACAGCAATATATTTTTGAAAAAAAAAAAAAAATTAATACATATTCTATTTATACGAACCTATCCTAAAATCTTGTCGGCATTAAATAACCCATTGAGGTGTTGATATGCCGTAAAACAAAATAGCCAAACGTCTTTCTGAAGCAATGATCTGGGAAGTAAGGGAAAATTACTCCGGATAGCATCAAATCGAAATTTCTAATACTGTTCTCCTATTTCTAATTTTGAGCCGTTGTCCATCATAGAACTCGCCCATCCAAGTTTACAACACCTGGTATTCCCAAGGAGTTACCCATCTAGATACTGCCCAGGCTCGACGTTGCTTAACTTCGGTGATTGTACGAGAACCGATGTTTCAACGTGATATTGCCGTAAGCCGATTCAATTGATTATTTAAATAATCATATGAAGAATCACAATGTCGTCCATCACCAACATTGCATCATTTTCGTTATTATCGTCTTTTGTATTATTTTTTTTATCGTTTATTAATTAATTTTATCGTTGTTATTAAGGATTTGGCTATTGCCCAGTTTTGTCTGAATTCTCACTCTTTCTTTTATTTAGTGCGTGTTCTTATTTATAACCGAGTTAGTGTATTTTCTTTTGACCTAAGCAACAGCGCCTCCTTCCCATGGTATTAACTGTCTGGAAGATTGAAACATTTGCTAAGGAAGAGATCATAAATAAAATATGAGAAACGGAAAAAATCTCATCTATAATTTGTATCTCGCCTAATCTTAAACATCTCAGTCGCCACACCGTAGCTTCAAGCCGACTTCTTCGCATGCGAACCATTGTTAAAAGTACGCTCAAAACTAAGATGGAGAGATAGCAACACTTCACAGTCAAATATATTTCATCTTTCTAAAACCTACACCAATCGTAAATTTCCATCCAACATTTTACGTTATACTATTTTTTTCAGTATTACGCAAAGGCGTTTAATAAAATACGTCACAAAGATCTGCTTAGCAACCTTGACATACCCTACGGACAGAAAATATACAGCAGATATACAAACATAGAAAGGGGTGTAAGACAAGGATGTGTCTTCTCACCGGATTTATTCAATCTATACAGTAAGGCAATTCTGAGAGAATTAAAAGTCCTACCTACCAGGATTCATTATTATAAGATATGCAGGTGACAGAATACTGATAGCAGAAACAGAAAGGAAAGTACAAAATCTCCTACTGAAGTTAGCGAAGGAAAGCGAGAAGAAAGGACTAAGTATACACTCCAAGAAGACAGAATGCATGTTTATTAGCAAAAAGATGAGCCCAAAATGCAAATTACAAATCGGTGATACTAAAATCAAACAAGTACAGAAATTTTAATATCTGGGAAATGTTCTAACGGAGGACGGAAAGTGCAATACTGAGATTCAAAAACGTATTGGGATGGCCAAAGATGCCTTCCAGAAGCTAAGCAGAGTATTAAGAGACAGAAAAAAAATTCGTCAGAAACAAAGAAAAGAGTACTGAACTGTTACGTGATATCTGTCCTCCTGTATGGCAATGAATGCTGGGCAATCTTCTCAAAGATGAAGAAATGTGGTTCTATAGAAAGATGCTGAGGATACCATGTACCAAACATGTGAGCAACATCAAGAAGAGGCAGTTGAAATTTCTGGGGCATGTAATGAGGAAAGAGGGCTTGGAAAATCTGATGCTCACGGGACAGAGTGAGGGAATGAGGGACATAGGAACATGAATAAGACAAGCCACTCCCGCAAAAATAACCGCCAGAATAGATTACCCACAATGCATCACTGACCCATATATATATAGTCGAGGAAAGATCCAACATTCGCAGCCTGACGATTGCGTCTAGCGTAACATGAACTTGATGGGTTGCAGAACAGGGTTTTGGAGAAATAACAAAAAGACAAAACTTATTAAAAGCTACAAGGGACAGGAAGATGTGAATGGCTATGATCGACTAGGTTCTGATGAGACACGGCAGATAAAAGGAGAATGTTCGCTTGCTTGTTTTTCCTGAAAAGTTAGTAAAGCAAAAGAATAAAGTAGATATTTATTAAGCTTAACATTATCTGACACAAGGCAACAACCGAAAAGTGAACTCCTGACCATGGTCTATGAGACTAGATTTTAAACAACACACTATAGCGAGACTTTCTGTGTGTCCTGGGTACGACGATAAACTACATCCGGCATCAGGTCCTCTGATAGGAAGGTCTTGAGGAGCGTGAAACCACCGCTTAATTGCTGTTGTTCGCAGGTCTAACCTGACCTGGGGTGGTAGCATCTGTTAGGGTTTCAGCCACGGACAAATAGTTAACCTCCAAATTGGGGCTCAAACAATATGAAAGTATAAAAAGATTTTTTATAGAAAACATACCAACAATACATTTCTTAGAATATTACCAGCAATATATTTTTGAAAAAAGAAAAAATTGATACATATTCTATTTATACGAACCTATCCTAAAATCTTGTCGGCATTAAATAACCCATTGAGGTGTTGATATGCCGTAAAACAAAATAACTAAACGTCTTTCTGAAGCAATGGTCTGGGAAGTAAGGGCAAATTACTCCGGATAGCATGAAATCGAAATTTCTAATACTGTTCTCCTATTTCTAATCCTGAACCATTTTCCCCTCATTGTCATCACAAGTAACGAGATTTTTAGTTGATGAATGGTCTTAGGTACTTCAGCTAAAGAAGATAAGATCAAGTTTTCCTTCCTTTACATTATCATTTTAATTTTAAGAAATTGGATGTTATATTTAGGAATCTTTTTTAGTCTATATAAACGGAAGCGAACTATTTTGCTGGATGTTTAGCTAACTTCTTCTTCTTCTTTTTCTTCTTCTTCTTCTTTTTCTTCTTTTTCTTCTTCTTTTTCTTCTTCTTCTTCTTCTTCTTCTTTTTCTTCTTCTTCTTCTAATAATAATAATAATAATTTCTTTTTCTACTTCTATGTGTCGTGACTCTTCAGAACATTGTTGATCATGGCCCTCCGCAACTTCCTGTCCTTTATAGCTCTTAATAAATTTGGTTTTCTTGTTATCTCTCCTAAACTCTGTTCTGCCATCCATTTACACAATCTTGTCATGCATTGTTTTTCTATCAAATTTTGCAAGCCTTCTTTTCTCATTATGTGCCATAGAAATTACAACCGTTTCTTTTTTATGTTAAGTAGAATTGTACTTTTTGTTTCCATTTTCTCTAAAACTTCGTCATTGCTCACATGTTCAGTGTATAGTATTCTCAGTATTCTTCTGTAGAACCACATTTCTGTTGCTTCAGTTTTCTGTGAGGAAAGTGTACAGCATTTACTGTCATATAGGAGGATTGATATTACGCAATAGTTCAGTACTCTTTTCTTTGTTTCTAACGAAATTTTCTTGTTTCTTAATATTTTGTTTAGCTTTTGGAAAGCATATTCCCCTATCCCAAAGTGCCTTCGGATATCAGATTCAAAGAATGAATTATGTAATCGAACATCTGTTACATATTGCCAGAGCCAAGAATTTGAGAAGAAGAAATTAATAATCTTTGGGCTATTTTATCTGTACGAGGGCAAGTGATTCGATGTATCACAAGATAATCAAGTCATGTATTTACGATTGAACATCTTTTCGAATACCAAAAGTTAAACAGTAATTCCTCATTTTTGCTTGAGGTTTGAGTTTCAAAGGGTGACGTCTCTCATTTTGTCTAACCACTTCCTAAAGGGTAAATTATTCCCCATTCTATGGAAGGTGTCAAGTGAATATCCTATTTCTCAAGAATGCAACTGAGCACTCACCCTCGTCTCAATATTGGCTCATCAGCCTCCTTAGTGTCATCAGAAAATGTCACTAATGGTGATCTCTGTTCTGACCTAGCTTTAACAGCTCAAAGGAGATAAAACTGACTGGTCGAATTCAATAACTCAAAAACCAAACTAGTAACGTTCCATCATCACAGATCACACTATGAATGTTCGACGATCGCGATGCACGGGTGTTCTTTCAAGGATGTGTCGTCTTAAACGTCCATTGGGACGTAAGCACACCTCAGAACTCGTATATATGATCCATCGCTAAAGATGCTGGTCAGTTTCCGGTACCACTCCAGTAAGTACCATACTCCTCCTACTATTCACTACCAGATCCGACCGAAAAATAACCTCTGCCATATCTTGACCGGAACTTCACTTTTCAGTCTTGATAGAGTTCAAAAGCGTCTCCACGGCCAATTGGGCGCTGGATTATTTTCCACCCTACAACCCCTTTCCCCACAGATGAAACGTTGCAAGCCCTTCGCTATTCTATCGCTAATTCCATGGAAGATCTTGACGTGTTATATTCCTTAGTTCTACCAAGACTAACCCCCACAGCTAAGACCCGCAAAGACATATATATTGAGGCGAACCACCCCATTCCCTTCATATCTATTAGTCATAATGAAGTTCCACTCGAACAGCTTTTTCCTACGAACTACTATTTTGTGAAATGACTCCCGAGAAGTTGCTTTCCTGATCACAACAATCGTAACCTCTTCAAGTCTAGGGTTTAATCGTTATGTTTCCCACATATCCTCATAAACTGCACCGTTTACCTCTTACTCTTATCACTTGAATAACAACCGCCTTCAGTGCTCCTTGAGTGACTCTTGGGCCTTTTATAAAGTGAATATTTGTAAAAAATCAAAAGAACACTGACATTCAAAAATAGTTGAATACAAAGGAAAGGGTCAATCCTTATCTATCCTCCTTATCCTCATAATTTCCTACCATTCCCTCTTTCATACATATACAACTTTCATAATAAACATTTTAACATGAATCTTTTAAATTCAGTGTCTCTCGAGCCTTGTATAGGGTGAAGTTTAATATTAAAAAGAGATAATTCCTCACCATGTTCTCTGTGAATTAAACTTTCTGGGTGCTAAATTTGGTTTCGTCCAATACATATCGATCTGTAGATAGAAGCAAGATGCAAATTGGATGTCTAGCCTCAGCCGAACAAGAATCGTTCACTGGTTCGAAAATCAAACGATTATTTTTATACATTAAAAAGAAGGTTTTTTTTTTCTAATCAAAAACGAGAATATCGTTCCCGTGCTGACAACTAATTATGTGAATAAATAGGTATCTATATAGAAAAGCACATTTTATATATAAAAGTACTGACAATAAATTACAAGCGGAAAAAAAGAGTATTTCTCTCAAATCGTCAGCGCCCGTTCATTGATTTGAACTTCAACAGCAATATAACAAGTTAAAGATACAGAGTTTAAAGCGAAAAAAGAAGAAAAAAAAGAAAAGATATTCATTGCATCGAAACATAATTGACACCGACCGAGTTACGTAAGCGGGAAATGTCGACTGTTTTAAAGCAAAAACGTACATCTATAAATGT